TTAAAATATCGAAAAATATACAGCGCGCGAATTTTAAATGAGAATTTCCGAAAACTTTTCAGTCTTAATGTAAGTACTATGACCTGAGCTGCCATCAAAACCCCATTTACATTCTAATAAAATTTTCATACTGCAATTAATTTTGTTTAATGCTAATAAGCTTTTAGCTGTTACATTAAGCAAAGTTTGGAGCGGCACTTCTGCTGAAGATTCCGACACAAAAATAGGATTAGGTAGCAATTCTTCCTTTGCTTTCTTTATAAGGTGGTAGCTTGGAAAGCAATCAGGATGCATAGCATTTATCACCGACCGCAAAATATTATATTTTCTTACCGATAAATCTAAATCAAAACACAAAGCGATAGCTTTATTTATCGATAAGCGTTTAATTTCATCTGTATAATTTAAACGTTTTGCAGCATGTGTAATTTCTTCTGGTGACTTTAATGATATAAGTTTTTCAACTTTACGTCTTTTTGTTCTATCACAGCTTTCAACATACGATTTTACAGGACGGCCCTTATTATTATATGCGTTATTACTTATTTCATTTTCACTTCTTAGAGGCTCCAAGGCAGCAGTTGTTGGTTCCTAATTTTGTGATATTACTTCAAGTTTCAGCAACAAGAAATAAAAATGTACTTACGTCTAAACATTTGCAGTCATCGTACCTAAACTCAAAATCAAGCCAGGCGGAATTCTTATTAATAAATTTAGTTCTCATCCTCGAACTATGTAACCACTTTCTTTTTAATTGTATTTCAAGAAAATTGATTTTCTTTTTGAGTTTTTGACTATTTAATTGAAAACCAACTCTTTTCAAAACAAATTTCATCATAATATTTATTTTTTCAACACGATTTTTTTCTGTTTCTGTAAGCCATAACTCAAAAAGTTCTTTAATTTTAATAATTGGTGCCACTGAAAAAATCACATTTCATTAAAAGTTGCAGCTAGATGCAAATAATTTTTAGATATTCTTTAAGTACATACTTGAATAAGTAATTTGTCAAAAAATTAGAAATATAAATTGATATAATTTTGAGAAAAAGACTTTTAAAGTTTAACTTTTATGAACTGATCACGCGCGCGAATTTACTTTTTTAGAATAACGGTAAAATGAAAATAGGAATCAAAACAAAATAAATCAAAGTGTTAACGGACTTACTAAATTATATATTTTACTCATATATGCATTTTATGCAGAGTTGTACCTAAAAAAAACTAATATATGGCTTGAAAGTGCATTGCTATAAACTTAGGTTTTTTCAAAAAAAAAATTAAGATCTAATTAGAGTGACTTTGATGAGAAGATGTGGTCCCATGCATAGAAATTTTTGAAAAATATTTCAGATTTTTCTTAGTAGAAGTATTACCTATCCATATGTAAACCGCTTTTCCAATTCCAATAACCTTCATTTTTTATGATTTTTGTCCGCACTCGTTACACTGTGCGGTGGTGCCAGAATAAATGAAATCATTCACCACTAAATCCACATATGTAAATTCTTTTTTTGATAGGAGTAGCACATCACAATAGCAATGTCCTATGATAAATGCCACATTTATTAATTATTGTGCCATTATGGTGAATACTTGTCATGTGCATGATTATTTCTCTGCAAATGGTAGGGGATCAACTTGTCTGAAAGTTTGAAGAGAATCGATTCTTACTTCATGGAGCTACGGATACTGCGTAACGTATAAGCTCTGCTGGCATACTGAGCTTAGATTTTGCGACGTAAACGTGATATCTTGTGGGGCTATTAAAGGGCTACAGTTCTTTTTCTGACCAAGTAGCAAATAGGCAATGATTGGTTACCACACATTTGACACATTTGATAATTTTAAAAATAATTATTTGAAAACGTTATATGCGAGTGGCAGTTATTAAAATAATCTATTCGAGTTACTCGATTATGAACAAGTCCTTGCCATAGCCATATAGTCATAATATTCGAGATTAAAAGCATAATCTTTACTATCTTTTCTTTCTTCGTAGGTTTAAAATGCATTAATGAACTCACGTTCTAATTTTTATTTGTTTAAAAGCAAATACTTTACTTTAGAGCAAATTAAGCTTCAGTAAGGATTCCACGTAGCTTAGAATCTTTCTACTTTTATAGGAAATTATAATAATAAGTTTAAGTGAATCCTGAAAATTATTATCTAACTTAACCTAACTTATCTTCTCAAAAATATATAGAAAATATAGTTATAATAAAATATAACTATATATAATCATAATATAATATATATAATATAATATAATATAATTATTATAATATAACTACATATTATATATAATTATAAAATATATGTATATATATATAAACATATATATCTCTCTGCTATTTAAAAAAAATTAAGTTTTATATTAAATTAAGTTTACCTCGATCCTGTGCAGTGAGTAGTGATGACGAAAGCGTTTGTTTTAGTTTACCAAAAGTCCCTCCACTGTCAGGTGCATTCTGTGTGGATGGCGTCTCATCGGTTGCCACCATCTAAAAATGAAGAGAAGATAAAGTGAATTAAGCAAAAAAAATAAAAAATGTAAGCAATTAAATTGAAATTGAAATTGAATAAAGTTGTAAAAATGCATCAATTTAATTAAATTTGCCAAATTGCCAATGAAATGTTCATAAAAAATGCCAAAAGCAACCATTTATTTGATATGCCGAAGTACATAAAATTTACAATGTGCTGATATCAAAAGCACTAAGAGGAGCCTTGATGACCGAAGTATCTCTAAAATTGTGGTTAAAGGTGGCACATTGATATACAGTATTTGTGCATATACTCGTACATACCCACACATTAGCTGTGAAATACTTTATTCGAGTC